TGGGAAGAGTCCGTTAAGAGAGACCTGAAGGATTGGAGTATCACCAAAGAACTAGCTATGGACAGGGGTGCGTGGAAGCTTGCTATCCAGGTGCCAGAGCCATGAGTTGGCCGCGAGATCTTATGGGTTTCACCTCTAGCCTACCCCAACTTGTTTGGGACTAAAGGCTTTGTTGTTGTTGTTGTTGTTGTTGTTGCATTTGCCTGGAAATGAGATATGACTAGAACCAGCATCAACCTTGTCCCTGAGAAATAATTGTGGAAAGAGATGCTGCATAGGTATTAGGTAAGCGCCATAGAATGCTGAAACATTCTGTACTTTAGTCAAAGTTGCAGCACTTTATGCTTTTTCCCGTAGCAATAGTTTCCTTTCAATCCGCTTTACTCTGAACAAATCGATTTCACTTTATGTGGTCTCCTACAATTTGTCCACACTAAACTATGTATGTTTTACTATGAATTTGGGAGGCATTTCTAAAACATTTTCAAGCTCTGTTGGTTATGCTGTGTGTATTCATCAGTTTCTCTACCAGTCAGTGATCCTCATGTGTTGCACCGTATTGCAAATGTTTTGTGTATATGAAAAATCTATGGAGACTTTGACTTCTGTCTCTAGATCCTCATATCACTAAATAACGGAGTCTATTTTCCCACCAGGCTTCCAGTTCATTGGGACAAGACTGACATTGTTGTAATGAAGGAGGTTCGCGTATGCAGTCCGTACCTGCCTGAAAATGTCAGCGGCGGAACATCAGCTGCTAATGAACGGGTTAAGAAAGTGGTAATGCACCTGTACTTGTAGATCAATGTTTACACTTTTAAACGTCTGAACCAGGAAAATGACTAATCGTTGTTTTCTTTTGGTGTGTGTTTTATTTGGTGCAGCTGGACTTTGAGAGGAAAAGACAACATGTGCGTGTACCTGGCCAATTCTAACTTATTCGACTTGACAAATTTTCACCTCAACTCCTGCTGTGATATGTTTCTAAATCCGACCTTATTTGTCCAGTTTCATCAGTTGAATTTTCTAAGAATCTGTTTCAGCATGCTGTTCTCACAAACTACCACACTAGCAAGCTTATTGATATTCTGCTATTAGATGCCGTATGTGGTGGTGAATAATTGCAGCACACTGCTGATAATTCTGTGGCTGATAGTGAAAGGTTGTGTGGCTGAAGCAAACTAAGGAAAGAAAATAGATTGGTGGCACTGAAAGAATAGGAAGTTGTATAACAACTAAGAAAAGAGGCGGAGCAAAGGCAAAACTGAAAATTAGTCTCTCAGACTTTGTATTACTCTTCCTGGTGGAATAATATTTCCAGCTTGTGCTGTTGTATTCTTTTGCTTCCCTTGCAATCCATGGTACTGGACATGTAAGGCGAAATCGTGTAGCTTTATTGGTGAGATGATATCACGGCATGGTTCCGTTCATGTTTTGCGATTGAATGCACAAAGAATTGTTTGTACCCCAGTTAATGGCCGGGACTCTATTGATGCGTAGTGGAGTGCTTTTTTTTCGCGGGGTAGTGGAGTGTTTATATGGTGTAGGGTTATGCTATTTTCTTCAAGCGGAATAGCAAATACGAGCAAAAATGTGAAGGGTAGATTTTCTCAGAAGGGAAAATGGGTTATGTTGCATTGCATCAATCAGTTTGCTACCTGTATCTTTCGGTTATGCCTGTTGGGCCGAGGATGTGCCGGTTAGATGCCTAGATTCACGTGCTTTGTCCAGCATCGTCCTATTTAGTCTGCAGACAACACACCCACATGGTTGTACAAGGATTCAGCACAAGCCTTGCATAGTGGCAACTACTCCCTCCATTTCTAAATATAAGTCTTTTTAAAGATTTCAATATGAACTACTCCATAAGAAGAAAAATGAGTGAATACATCTGTATTTATTCATATTGAAATCTCTAAAAAAAACTTATATTTAGGAATTGAGGGAGTACGATGGTAGTCTATTTTGCTTCAGTGATTCCAACCCTAGTACATTGGTTCGGATGATCGAATTATTGGTTTCATGGTTTGAGTAGAAACCGGTTTTCAACAGTCCTACGCACCCATATTTGTAACAGGCGGACCATTGGGTTCCCAGTTTGTTCTTTAAATGCTCTCTCCCCTCTTGCGGTTCTTGCCATTTATTTCTGTATACATACCACGGGCTATTCCCTTGTATCGGGTCTTTTCCTCCACCAACATATCTGAGTACTTGTAGTTTCGTGGCCTCAGGTTGCCCACAATAGAATCATAAGTTGTATCATGTATGTCAACTAGACATTTTTTTTATGAGGTGACACAATTAAACTAGAAAAATAAGGATTTGATACCATATCATATTAAATGTTATACTATATTGTGTCATGCATGATAAGGCAATTCACCTCCGTTTTTATCCACTTTGCATATTAGTTTTGTCTCGAGTCAAACTTTGTAAACTTTTATCAAGTTTATAACATCCACAATACCAGTAAATACCATTAGTCATTATTGAATATATTTTCGTATCATGACAGCTATTTGAGACGCCTCCAGTTGAAGTAACAGTAGAGTATCTTCAGTTCAAAAAAGAAAAAGGGAACAGTAGAGTTCCTTACAGCTATTTGAAGTCCATCGGCTATTCTAAAAAAGTACAGTTTAGAGGATATACTTATTAAAGGCAAGATGCCAGCTTGTGAGATGGCCCACGTTCAGGAGAGAGCAGCGCATGTGCAACGTTTAGAGCATCTCTAGTCGCGCCTCCAATAGGCCCTTCCAGGACGACTTTTCAGCGCCGGCGCCTAAAAAAGGCTCAGCCGCGCCCTCAGGGTCTAGTTTTTCGCCGGTTTGGACTGAAATAACAGCCGATTAACCAATCCGGACCCAAGCCCCTGGGGATCGCATGGGGGCGCCGGACGAAGCGAAAAGGCGCGTGGGACCGCTTTGTCGGCGAGAGAAGGCCCTTTTCCCGTCGATCCCCTTCTTTTTTCCTCCATTTCCCCCTTCTCCCGCCATTCTCCCTCTCCCCTCCATTCGACCGCCATGCCGCCGAAGAAGTACGAGGCCCCTCACCGAGCTACCGATGTCGACGCCACCCAGCCGAAGCAGAGGAAGCCGAGGGCGCCGCCGTCCAAGCCCCCGGACATGACAAACGCCGACTGGAGGGTCGAGGTTCAACGCCGGGAGGCTGTCACCACCGACCGGCGGAACAGGCTCAACGCCAAGAAGGCTCGTGACAGGGCGGCTGCGGTGGCGGCCGCGGCCGCCGCGGAGCAGGCAGAACGCGCGACGGAGCAAGCAAAGGCGTCCCGTGCGGGGATGATGAATCCGCCCGTCGGCCACGGCCCGCACGTTCCCTGGAGCCAGCAGAGTGTCGGGTCACCGACCGGCTTCTCGTCGTCGACTCAACCCTGGGGGTGCGCGCCGTCGCCTGGCTACGTCGACGGCGACGCGCACGGCGGGTTCAACCCGAACGTCACCTTTCCACATGGGCACCCCACCCAGTGCATGCACTCTCCCGCGTTCGCCGGCGTCCAATACCCCACGTACACCTATTCATCGCCGGCTTACGCGTCCTCCCCGACGCCACCTCTGCGCCGTTGCGCGCTGCCCTTCTTGCAAGCATCGTCGTCGCATCTTGGCAACACCGACGGCACGGAGGCCGACATGGATGACATCATCACGTTCGGCTCGGCCACCAGGACCGGCGAACCGCGTGTCAAGTGTGTGGCCAAAGAAGACGAGTGCCTCGCCGAAGCATGGAAGATCGTCTGCCTCGACCCGATCACCGGCACGAACCAAAATGCTGACACGTACTAGGAGCGCATCAAGGCGAAGTTCGATGAGCGCAAGCTGGTCGACCAGTATTTCTCCGGCGTCCACATGGACCGCGGCTCCAAGGCCATGTCCAACCATTGGGCGCTCATCCAAACGGCGTGCAACAAAGCATGGGATCGTCGAGGAGGTCGCGGCTCGCCCAGAGAGCGGCGCCAGCTACGAGAGTCAGGTATGACGCCGCCGGTCTCTCGTGACACTTCTCGCCGTGTGCATCGCCGGCCTCACCTGTTCCTCGGTGCAGATGGTCCGGATGTTCGCCATGTATCACCAAGATAACAGCTCCAACCAAGATTTCAAGTACCTCCACGTGTTCTCCCGGATCGAGAATGTAACGCCCCGGATTCGATGAGCCAGGTGTCTGCCAGTTATTCGCCGTCGTTGCCATGTCATTTGCTTGCGTGTGCATTTTATCATGTCATCATGTGCATTGCATTGCATACGTGTTCGTCTCATGCATCCGAGCATTTTCCCCGTTGTCCGTTTTGCAATCCGGCGCTCCTATGTCCTCCGGCGTTCCCCGTTTGTCTCTCGTTGTGTACGGGTATTAAACGTTCTCGGAATGGACCGAGGTTTGCCAAGCGGCCTTCGTATAGCACCGGTAGACCGCCTGTCAAGTTTCGTGCCATTTGGAGGTCGTTTGATACTCCAACGGTTATCCGCGTAGCCCGAAACCCCCCTTCTCTTTGCAGCCCAACACCCCTTCCAAAGTGGCCCAAAACCAATCTAACTCCCCTCTATGCTCTCGGTCGTTCGATCATGATCGCGTGGCCGAAAACCGCTCCTCATTTGGACTCTCCTAGCTCCCTCTACCTATAAATATGTGTTCTCCCCGAAATTCCGCAGTCCAAACCCCCGAAACCCTAGCTTTCGTCCTCCTCCCGCCGCCGGACATGTCCATTTCGGCCGGACATGTCCGCGCCGCCGCCCCTCGCCGGCAAGCCGCCCCGCGCCGTCCCACGCCAGGAACCGGCCGGATCCGGTGAGATCCGGCCCGGATCCATCCGCCCCGCCCCCCCGACGTCTTCCCCGAGCTCCGGCCACCTCCTCTCCATCTCCGACGAGTTCTTCCTCGACTCCGGTGGGATTCCGGCGAGATCCACCGAAGGTTGACTTTTCCCCTCCGAAAATTCTGCCAAGTCCTGAAATATTTTGACATTATCATGCCATGTTCATTGCATCATATCTCTGCATCCGCAGCTCCGTTTTGTGCGTGTAACATGTCAAATTGTTCGTCTCAACGAGTACATCATTTCATTCCATTGCATCATGTTCATTTGAGCTCATCTTGATGCCTGAATCATCGTTGCAAGAGTGCTTCATAATGTTGTCTGCTGAAACTGTTATGAACATGCTCATTTGTCATTTTTGCCATGATTGATGTGTGCATCCTATGAGGTTGATGTCTACATGTGTTTTGATCTATGCTATGTCTTCTTTACAGAGGTGCTTACCATGCATTTTTGTGATCAATGTGGTGACTAGCACAAGCATGCAAATTAGGCTTCGTGATATTGCTGATTTTAGTCCCTGTTCTGCTGTTATTTTGATGCCATGTAAACTGGTTGCTACAGAGATATCCATGCTTATTTTGAGATACTTCATTAAGGATGTTTTGAACATATGGTTTTGCTCTATCCATTAATGCCCCTGTTTGCAATTATGGAGTAGTCTAGCATGTCATTTTCGTGCTCTACTTTTGCTTTAAAATGTTTCCTGGCAGATTGTTTACATGTTATTCAATTTTGCCAAGGTTGTTGTAGTTGATCCTTGCATGCTATGAACTTGTTCTTGCCTTGGTTTGTTTCATAAACATGTCTTATTGCTGATGCTATGCTTATCTTGTCATGCAATGACTTGTGGTGAGTGAATCGAGCTTGTTAAGTAGTGTACTTACTGTTACTGTTTTGCTAGGCTGAATCTGTTATTTCGTGATGCTATGTAAACCTGCTTCTACTAATCATTCTATGCATAATCTGGAGATGTTCACTAAATATGGTTTGTTCTACATGTCATGCTCTATCCATCCATGCCCCTGGTTGCATTTATATCTTGCTTTAACTTGTTGTAATCTTGCTCCAAAGTTGCTTCATAATGTTGCTGTCAGCCTGTTAACATTAAGT